TCCATGCACAATCTGCAGGACTTTGCTATGAGTCATAAATGGGGACGTTGCCCCTCATTGTCTCAGATCTTGCTGACTAGGAGGTGATCTCAGTAGCATTGTGGCGGTAGTGCCACCCCCCTCTGACTCTGTGCCTACTGAACCCGTGACCTGCAAAGATAAACATGCCAGGGCAGTGTCATAGAATGGATTGCAGCATGGGGGGTTTGTCGTGATTTTTACTTGCTGCTCGTCCACCCAGTCCATCGCCTTTCATCCCTGTCTACAGTCACTGCAAGTGACCTTCTGAATTATGGACAGTGGTAGGCAAGTCCGAATTTCTGAAGATGTCTCACTTATTCCTTTGGCCAGACAGTTTTTAAGAAGATTTTACATTTTTATGGAGTGGGGAGAGGTCGCTGTTTGCCCGCATGCCACAGCATGGGAGTGGAGGTTGGGCCAGCACTCAGGAGTTGGTTCTCTCTGGAAGAACCACCATTGTGGTCCCAGGGATTGAATTCAGGTGGTCAGGCTTAGCAGCAGATGGCTTCATTTGATGAGCCGCCTTGCCAACCCAAAACAATCTTTTGTTTGCTTTTTTGTAGTACTGGGAACTGAACCTGGGGCCTTGCACACGCTAAGCAAGCACTCTTTCATTAAGCTATATCCTGGCCTGGCTAAACATTCATGCTTAAGCTTCCTGAAGACCGAGGACTGCAGTCCAGTCACACATTCCCCTCCTCAGTTGCTTGTTTGCTGCAATCTTTAGCTTTCCTAGGGCAGTAATAGGGATTGATTTGTTTGTTTTTTGTATTTGCTTTTGAGGCAGGGTCTCATGTGGCCCATGCTGACCTTGAACTCACTATCTGGCTAAGGGTGGCCTCGAACCTCATATAAGGTGCTGAGATTACAAGCTTCTGTCCTCATTTTCTGAGGGCTCGACAAAGGTCCAGGCAGCATTCCCCTGCGCCTTTGGGCTTCTGCGTGTGGCTGTTCCTGCAGAGGAACGCTTCCTGTCTCAACGCAGCAGATCTGTGCTATCAAGATTCTCTTGTCCTCTGCAGGGTCAGTGCACGATTCTCAATGGAGAGTGAAAGCACAGCTTCATGATGAGAACCAGCCCCCGTCGGCCACTGATTCTCAAAAGACGGAGGCTGCCCCTTCCTACTCAAAATGCCCCCGGGGAAGCATCAGAGGAAGAAGCAAAGAGACCCCCTGCCCAGCAGGAGCCTGCTCAAGCACAGGCCTCCCAGGAGGTGGCAGAGTCCAGCTCTTGCAAATTTCCAGCTGGAATCAAGATTATCAACCACCCCACCATGCCCAACACACAGGTGGTGGCCATCCCCAACAATGCTGATATCCAGAGCATCATCACAGCACTAACTGCCAAAGGGAAAGAGAGTGGCAGCAGCGGACCCAACAAGTTCATCCTCATCAGCTCTGGGGGGACCTCCTCTCACCCTCCTGGTCCTCAGCCTCAAGCCCAAACCAGCAGTGATTCCAAGAGGACAGAGGTGATCACTGAGACTCTGGGACCAAAGCCAGCAGCTAAGGGTGTGTCTGTCCTCAAGCCGCCTGGAACCCTTCCAAGACAAAGGCAGGAAAGCTGTGGTATGTGATCTGCGAGGCAAAGGGGCGTGGAGGCTGGCCTTTCTTCTTACTGGCTAGGCCTCCAGTTAGTTATGCTGATGTCCTCTGGTAGACAGGAATAGGAGGAACCAAGGCAAAGGCTTGCCTCTCTTCATTCTGGAATAAGCAGACCATCTTGGTGCTGTGGAAAGGGTAACAATTATGTAGCATTCCTATTGCTCTCTTTATGTCAGAAAAGGGTTGGTGGGTTGGTTGGTTGGTTGGTTTATTGTTTGTATTGACCTGGGTCTTAGTCACTGTTCTATTACTCTGAGACATGACCAAGCCAATTCTTATAAAAGAAAGCCTCTAATTTTTTTTTTTTTTTTTTTTTTTTTTACACAGTTTCAGAGGTTTAGTCCATTATCATCATGGTGGGGAGCTGGCAGCATGCAGGCAGGGACTGGGGCAGGAGCAGTAGCTCAGAGCTACATCCTGATCTATGGGCCAGGAAAGACAAAGACACCCTGGGCCCAGCATGAGCTTTAGAAACCTCACAGCCCACCCCAATGACACACTTCCTTCAACAACACCATACTCCCTAATGCTTTCAGATAGTGCCCCTCACTGGTAACTAAGTATTCAAATATATGGGGCTATTCTTATTCAAACCACCACAGCCTGTAAGGAAGTACATCTCCATTTTAAAGAAATAAGCTGAATTCAGGGGAAGAAAAGTGACTCTGTGTGTGTGTGTGTAGCCAAAAAGTTGCCTTGACAGATGGATGCCTAAGGTTCCTTCTGGCTCGTTGAAATGTAATTCATTGTTCCTGAATTTCTTCTGATGTCCATCATGCAACAGAATAATTTAGAGGCACAACGGTTTACCGTGTGTTCCCTGTCCCTTAGAGTACGGGTTGGGTTATTCCCAACCATCGATTTTGGTAGAGCTGCAGGGCATCCGAAGAGGCTGCTAATGGAGTCCTGGGTTGTTTTCTTCTAGTTGGCAGTGAAGCAGCAGGCTGCACGCTGGACAGCAGCTTAACCAATATTCAGTGGCTTGGCAAGATGAGTTCTGACGGGCTGGGCCCCTGCAGCATTAAGCAGGAGATGGAAGACAAGGAGAACTGTCACCTGGAGCAGAATCAGGTTAAGGTGAACTGTTCTGTCAACTGTTCTGAACCTTCTGTCAGAAGGGACATGGATCAAGGAACTGCTAGAGCAAAACATCCAAGTTCTCATATTGGCGCTGCTCAGTGCTTTTGTATGTAATGTTTCTTTAAAAAAAAAAATTTGTGAGCCCAAGGCTTTCAACATAGTACATAAGAGTACACCACTAGCCTGGTGGTGGCGGCTCACACCTTTGATGAGGCAGTGGCAAGCCTGGTCTGCCGAGTGAGTTCCAGGACAGCCAGGGCCACACGGAGAAACCCTGTCTCGAAAAGCACACAGAAAGGACTATACAACTAAGCCACATTTGCAGCCGTTTTTTATTTTTACATTGAGGTGGGGTCTGGCTAACACTGACCTTGCTTGGGCCTTCCTGCCCCTGAGTAGCTACGGTTCAACTGTGTGCCACCTCCAGCTCTATGACGTCTGAGTTACTTACTGGCCCCATCTGTAGCTCACTGAAGGCAGGTTCCTGCCATACTTTGTTTTTCTCTAGCACTGGGTTTAATATCCTAGGTTTAGTAGCTCTTAGATATTCAGGAAATGATTTAAGGGTCTTAGTTAAGGAAGCCATTTGGCTTTCACAGTGGCATCCCAACAGTATGAATTGAATGTAACATCATTAGCAGGACAGTTTTATTAGGAGATACACTGTAATATTAGTAGCAAAGTTAATTTGATGGGAATTTTATTTGTATTAATTGAACTGTATATTTAAAACATGTAAAATTATATCTCAAAAGTTTAAACTGTGAGTGGTCAGATCTTTGTCTAAGACACATTATCCAAATGTGTCCTTTGAAAGCATTTGTCCCATACTTTTGACTATTTCTCCTGTGCAAACACTGAAACAGGATGGGCTTTTGGTCTCATCAGGACATCAAATGGAGCTCAGACCTAAACCCTATGACCTGCAAGTCCAAAATTGGGCATGGATTCATACAAATTATTGTGCGGACCTCAACTACAGAGTCAACTGGAAGAGACCCCCACTTGTTTTTTGCTTTTGAAATAGGGTCTTAGGTAGCCTAGGGTGGCTTAGAAAAGACTGTAGCTGAAGATGACCTTGAACTTCTGATCATCCTGTCTCCACTTCCCACTGCTGAAATTATAGTCATGTGCTACCATGACCAATTTTTTAATGTGATGGTAGAGATCACACCCAGGTCTTCCTGCATGTCAGGTAAGTACTCTATCAACTGAGCTTTGTCCCCAGTCTCTAGACCTCTTATCAGGCGATTCATCTTCAGCAAAAGGATGGAAGGAATCAGTTCCTAATTAGCTGGGGCCCAGACTAACATCCTGCTTGATCTTCAACTTTAATTCCATAATGAAATAGCGATCTCAAATGAGTTTGATTGCAGTACCGTCTAGAGCAGGGGTTCTCAACGTGTGGGGTCATGACTCCTTTGGTGTAGAATACTGGATATCCTGTGTAGCAGATGTTTACATTAGGAGTCGTAACAGTAGCAAAATTAGAGTCATGAACTAGCAGTGAAAATGATTTCACAGTTGGAGTCACCACAACATGAGGAACTGAATTAAAGGGCCACAGCATTATGTTCTCAACAGACTGGGGCTGGGGAATGGTTCTTATGTCATTCTCTGTTCTTTTTCCCTTCGGCTTCCCTTACCCCACAGGTTGAAGAGTCCTCAGGAACTAACACATCTTGGCAAGACTCTGTGTCTGAAAGGCCGCCCTACTCTTACATGGCCATGATACAGTTCGCCATTAACAGCACTGAGGGAAAGCGGATGACCTTGAAGGATATCTACACTTGGATTGAGGACCACTTCCCCTATTTTAAGCACATTGCCAAGCCAGGCTGGAAGGTATTATGTCCCATAGCCAATGTCGAGGTCATTCCAATCTTACTTGCTCCTGATGCTTCAGATTGTGTCCTAATGAAAAATAACAAAAACAATGAGCCCCGTGGTCCCAACATTAATTTCCTGTAACATCTATTGGGCAGGGCCTTTTCTTTTTCTCTCTTATTTTGAGACAGTCTTACTGCAAGCTCTAGGCTGGCCTCAAACTTACAAACTTCCTATTTCAAGCTCAAGGGTAGATGGAATGTCAAGTGTGTGCCACCATGCCCGCCTAGGCAGGTTTTTTCTTGTTTTTCATCTTATGCATGAGGACCCTGAGACAGACTCCTGGAAGTTTTTGTCAGAATCACACAGTACATATGTGTATCATACTTGCGTTTACTTCTTTGCTTGAGGGAGGAGGGGTGGATGCGCTGCACTTTTCTGGAGTTTCTCTCATTGTGAGGTCTGGGATTGAGCTCAGGCTTTGCACCGGTGCCTTTCCCCACCTTTCACTCCCGTACATCAAAAGCTCAGGCAGGCCAGGGCCATGGTGCTGCACACCTTTAATCCCAGCTCTTGAGAGGCAGAGGCAGGCGGATCTCTTTGAGTTTGCATCTAGCCTGGTCTGCAATTCCAGGACAGCCAAGGCTACACAGAGAAACCCTATCTCAGAAAACTAAAAAAGAAAGAAAAGTTTGGGCAGAAATGGGATTTGTCAGGCTGGAGATACAGCTTGGTGGCAGAGTACTTCAGTCTGCCGCACACAAGAGCCAGGACTTGAAGTGGGGTTTTCCAGGAAGACTAACCTCGTCTGACTCCTGCTTGCACCTGTGTCTGACCTCATGTCCTCTCTGCTGCTTGTCAGTGCTGACAGCTGGGCTGCCAGAAGCTCATTGCTCGGGTAGCAGTGTGTCGATTGTATTTGGCCCTCAGATTGGCAAGCTCCAGTGTCTGAGACAGAATCTTGCTGGGTAACCCAAACTGGCTTTGAACACTGCATTTTCCTGCCTCACCTTTCTAAGTTCCAGGAATGTGGGCAGGTACCATTGTGCCCAGGCATAGGGATGGGGTTTTTTTTTTTTTGTTGTTTTTGTTTTGTTTTGTTTTTTGCTTTTGTTTTTGTTTTTTTCTTGTTGCTCCTGTACCTTCAGTGTTTCTCTGTGGACTGAGGTGGACAGCATTCTTATTTCTTCTGATGCCATGGGGCATGATACTTCTGGAAAACATGGGGTTTTCCAGCTTAGCTTAGCCTGTCTCCATGTTCCCACAAAGGAGATGAGGCAAAGTTGCAAGTGTGTAAAGCTTTCCAGTGTTTTTTCACCTCAGTCCTGCACCGTGATATAGAGCAGGAATAGGGAAGGAAGCTTCCAGCCTGAGACCTTAAGAGCTTAGAGATAGGCCAAACCTCCAACTGGAGGAGTATCACCAGTCTAGCTCCTGGGATGTATGGCTGAGGTTAGCTCCGCAGTGTGGCACATCAGGAAGGGGGTTGCCAACAGGTGAGGTTTCCAGGACCTGAGCAAAGTCTCTGTTGACCATAGTGGGAGACGGCCCTCCTTTCTCAGTTCACTCCAAGGATAATGTTTCCAAAGCTAACTGGACTGATAACTGCTGCTCTGTCTCTTTCAGAATTCCATTCGTCACAATCTTTCCCTCCATGACATGTTTGTACGGGAGACATCTGCCAATGGCAAGGTCTCTTTCTGGACCATTCACCCAAGTGCCAATCGCTACTTGACGTTGGACCAGGTGTTTAAGGTGAGCGTACTTGCCTCTGGAGAGCCAGAGTCGGTTACAGAGCCTTCTGAGGAACAGTGCTCCTCCTGACGTTCTCTGACAGAGGGGCAGGGAGGAGCCAGTCACCCAGTTAATGACTTGCATAATGCCCTGAGCTAAGGATAACTGACAGATACCAAGGAACACTCCTTTGGACTAGGCCAGATCGTAAAGAGAACTGTCTGGTTCAAGTAGAGTTTCCGAGTCCCTGTACGTAGACCATTGTTACACACAGCTTCCAGGTCTCTGGATCCGGTGGGGGAGGGGCTAGGATTTGGTGTGTCGGGTGGCAGGGCGTCTGTGTGCAAGTGTACATGGTGGTGTGTGTAGAGGCCAGAAGACACCTTTGGGTGTTCTGTTCTATCACTCTCTTCATTCCCCTGGGATAACGTCTCTCATGGAATGTGGAGCTACTGGTGGTCAGCCAACCTTCAATCCACTACCTCCATCCCTACCCCTCAGAGCTCTGGGGTTACAGGCACATGCATGGCCAGTCCTGGCTTTATTTTTTAATGTAGGTGCTGGGATCTGAACTCAGATCCTTACGTTTGTACAGCTGCCCACCAAGCCATCTCTCCAGCTCTGTTTGTTTGTTCTTTGAGTCAGGGTTTCTCTGTAACAGCGCTGGCTGTCCTGGACTATCTTTGTAGACTAAGCTGGCCTTGAACTCACAACTACCTCTGCCTCCAAAGTGCTGGGGTTAAAAATGTGCGCCACCACACTCGGCCTCTCCAGCTCTTTAATTTGTATTTTCAACCTTGCTCCAAAGAAACTGTTCTTGGGGGGGCTGGAGAGATGGCTCGGAGGTTAAGAGCAATGTCTGCTCTTCCAAAGGTCCTGACTTCAATTCCCAGCAACCACATGGTAGCTCACAACCATCTACAATGAGATCTGGTGGCCTCTTCTGGTATGCAGGCAGAACACTGTATACATAATTAAAAAAAAGAAAGAAAGAAAGAAAGAAAGAAACCGTTCTTTAAGCCTAGACACCAGAAATGGAGTCACAAGAACATGTTTTCAGGGGGAGAAAAAAAAAAAAGTTGTTTTGGGAACTTCTAAGTGCTCATAAGGATGC